CCCTCCCCCCTCCTCTCTCTATTGTCTAGACGTTCTTTTCATCCCACAAGATGTACCTAAAGTGTTCCCTTGGAGGCTGGAATGTAGATCACATGGGGCTGACTTGCTGAGAGAGGGAGGAACGTGTAGGACAGATTTATCACCACAGCAGGAGCCCTGCTCTGATAGACAGTGAGACAGGGCATGGGGAGCGGAGGCCCTGCAATCTGGTGCAAGGAAGGGGGAGGAGACGGCTGTATCCCAGTGGGGACTTTGGAGATGGTACCTATGGTTAGAACTCACAGGTAGATGACAGGTCACTTTACCTGTCTGGGCCTAGTTTTCCCATCTGTAAGAAGAATCTGAAAATTAAGGAGAGCAGATGGCTCAATTGGCGTGGCGCATCCCTACTTTCTGTCTTGCTGTTCTATATGGTTGACTTCAGACTTTAATCTCAGAAATATCCCAGGTTAGACAATAAATTATATGGTTCCCTCTGCATATGGGTGTTATAAGGACACTGTAGCTCTCAGAATGGCACCTAATGTAGCAAGTGTTGTTCCCACTTGTATCTGAACTCCATATAAAGATGGGACTTAAGGGAGCTGGAATTTGGCCTGGAGTCCTGGGTGGTGTTTCCTGGGTGATGTGCTTAGAAGACAGATCGATGAGCTGTTCTGTCCCTCCAGTGCTAAGGCCCCTCTCTCCCATTCTGGGTCAGCAGAGGTAGCATACGCAGGCCTCTTTCCAAGGCTAAACATGGAGAAGTCCTGTGCCTCCAATCTGTCAGACCACAACTGCCTACAGAGTCTTTAGTAAAAAGCCTTAGCTCTGCCTTTTCTACCTGATGGCAGATGGTGGCAACATTTGAAATGAGGGTTCTTTTTATCTTCCGTATCAGACCCATGGCATCAGTTGTGATTCATACTCCAACTGCAGTTTTCTCATGAAGCTAGGCTTTGCCACACTGTCTCGATGTACAGAGGCACTTCATCCTTGGACAGGCCTGGGACCTTGGAGGCTTCAGACCGCAGAGCCTCCCCTGAGCAAGGCTGGCGCAGACCCTGCCATCAAGCAGTATCCACCTTCTCCCCAGGCTGCTGACAATTTCCCAAATCACCACTATGTCTTGGTTTCAGTTTGCACCAGGTTTTCTTGGGGGAAAGCCAGATGGGTCCCACATCCTCTATTTTGTGTATTTGCTGAAGTCCTTTTATTCACATGCCAATAGACATGGACCTCTTCCAACTCCCAGAGGTTCTGGAAGATAAGCAGCCATGTCATGGGAAGCACTTAGACTCACTCTAGATAGCAGATGAGAAGTGAGTGGGCAGAGAGGAACAGGGGGCAGTGGCCACAGAGTCTTTGGCCAAGGAAATGAAGCTGTTGGACATGGGTGGCGTGGTGCTTGCATAGTGTGTCATATGAGAAGAAACATGACTTCCCCTTAGTTAGGACAAGTTATGAGCGTGGGGCACCAGCAGTTGCTTATCTATGAAATGCGAGATTAGTGACCCCATGCTGTAATGTAAATACACAAATAGTCCTTGGAGTGTGGAATCAGCAACTGAGGACAACCTCAGTGCCCATGTAGGTCACCATCCTCATTTTACACATAAGGAAACTGAGGTCCTGAAGACCCAAAATGGAACAGCTGTTAGGAGGAAGCTGGGACCCCTGAAGCTCAGCAAGGCCACTATGCAGCATTCCTTCCCCAGTGCCCCTGCTGCCAACAACCAATCACATGACCTTAGGCGAGTCATGCAACGCTGGCCTCTGGTTCCTTATCTGTCAGCAGAGGCCACGGGACTGCATGATCTTTGAGCTGCCTTCCAGAAACAACATTCCAGGATGCTCTGTTCCCCTCGAGCCCAAGACAGCACGGCGTAGCCCGGCCTCCCAGCCAGGAGGCCCTTCACCCCCACCCCCACAGTCTAGGCAAGAGTCATCATGTCATAGGGGCAGCTGTGGGCCAGGATGGATGACTCTGGGATTCCTGGGCTTCCAGGCCATAGCCGCCATGCCTAAGATGTGGGGACGTGGTTACAAGCAGGTTTCTGGAACTAGGAGGCCTGTGACCCCACCCAATTCTCCTGCCTGTCAGCTGGGGGTGTGGGACTGGCCTCCTTTTGTCTCTCAGGTTCCCCACCTGTGAAATGGGGATGGTTACAGCACTCACCTCCCAGCCATGAGGATGGAAAGGGTCCTTCTGTGTGAAACACTCAGAGCCTGGTGCCCAGTGAAAACAGCAGCAGGGGCGGGTGCTCTTGGTTCTGGCCTGAGTGTCCAACACATACAGAAAAGCCCTTCCCTCCAACGACCCCAGCCAGGGGCTGAGTCGCTCAGTTTTAACTGAGGGAGTGTCTGTCTACAGCAGGATTAGCTGATCCGAATCAGACCCATGCAGCCTTCAATCTCCTTTTGAAAGAGGACCACCCTGAACCTCCCAGAAGGTTGTTTCCCCCTGATTGAAGTGATTCCCATGTAACCACAGTCGGGAGCACAACTGGCTGAGATTTTCATTCACCACAGACATAGTCTCCACTTCCCTTCTCCAAATTCCACTGGAGCAGATTCCGTGTCACATCGGATCACATCACAGCACCATCTCCCCTGTTCCCAGGCTGCCCTTGCCGCTAGGGGAGAGGGCGCAGAGCTCTGAGATTTGCCTGTGCCCCCCGCATTGGTGCTGAGGCTGGGGTGGTTTTTCGCCCCTGTACCCCACCATCTACAGCTCCCTACCCTTCTGTGCTGGCATCCTGTATGGATGAAGGCGCCAGCCTCCACAAACCAGAAGCACGTCAGTGGGACTGGCTGGGTCTCTGCTCTGCTCCCACACTTCCTCTCCAGGCCCAGAAACCCGAAGCACAAATTTGCAAAGCCAGGAGGAGCTCAGCCCCCGCCCCTGATTCTAATTAGGGGTGGATGCAGGCTGTAAGACTGGCTGCTCCAAGCCCAGACCAAATGCTTTTGGGCAGTCAAGCCTGGCATCTCGGCAGAGGTGTGTGCCAGCCACAGGGCCACAGAGGCACCCGTGGCATCTCCAGGAGACAATGGGGAAACCCATGTGCTTCTGAGTGAAAACTTCTGGAATTAGGAACACGAGTGCACACATTCATGTGCTAAAATGCTCAATTTGGTTTATATCTTCTATGTGCTTGAATAGAGGGCAACCCCCAAATACACGACACCCCCCCCCCGCCCCCGCCGCAACTTCCTTAATGGGATGAATTTAACAAACGTCTTTTACCAGCTTCTAGGAATCAGAACAGTGGTTGCCTAAGAGGTACGGTTGGGAATTGACTGGAAAGGGGCCACAGGGAGCTTTCTGGAGTGAGATGTGTTCTGTGCCTTCATCGGGGTGGTGGTCATGTGGTTGGTTTCATTTGTCAAAGTCCATCAGACTGTACCCGTAAGGTCTGTGCATGTTAGTGAACATTATTTGGCCTCAATAAGAAAAGTTAGAAAAATGAATCAGTCAGCTCTCTACCTGTCATCTTTCACCTCATCATGGGATGGCATACTTACAATGACCTAAGAATAATAGACTAATTCATATTCCTCTTTCCACTTTCATTTCACAATGATTTCATGCAAATGTGCATCTTTTGAGATCAGTGTATATAATTACTAAGCTACTTTTAAAATCAGTTTTCCAGGGCATAGTGTGTTCATTTCCTCTAATTTATTCAAAATGCAAAATATTTAGAATCCATGTTTGATGCTGAAATTTTATTGCGAGGCACAAATACTCATTTGCAAAACATTGTAGCAGTTGTGTTTTTCATTTATCTTCTAAATGATTATTCATGATTCTCACTAGTTAACAACTTATGTTTTGCTTTCTAAAATGAGCTTTAAAATATTTATCACAGCTTAAAACAATTGTAACCCAAGGAAAATCACCAATCTGTGTTAAATCTCGCTGCTTCCTTCACATTAATTCCGTCTAGTGACCTCTAAAAGGAGCTCAAACCAACAATGATTGAGACCATTTCAAACTGCTGTGTTGTCCCAGATTTTGTGGTTCAATTAAACAATTGAAGTACCAAATTTTGAGGTACTTTTAAGGGGTACAAAGTACCAAACCCTGAGAGACATTTAAAGGCAATAATCTCTTTTCTAATAATTAATTTGAGGAAATAAACCTTCATCTCATTTATTTTCTGGCATATACAGTAAATCTTGGAATATGTGTTCAGACCAAAAACAAACTGGGGGGAAGGGGGGAATCTTGTTTTAAAATTCATTATTAAAAGATTAGCATTGTTCTAGATTTATTTCTGTAAAACTCTTAAACTAATTATTGCCCCCTAGCATGAAGTTGAAACATTCTTGAATAAATTCATACTCACTGTATTTTACCAGAGCATGTAAGCTCCTGTGTGACTCAGTGTGGTGACTACCCAACTTGTACTTGGTATCAGAACCCTACTTTTAAATGGCATTGTATGTGACTGATGCTCTAGTTGGAGCAGAGAAGGAGGCCCCTTCTTTCAGGAGATTATGGAGGGGTTTTATAGCAGCCTAGGGATTCCATGGAACCACTTTGAAAACCTCTGGTAGTGGACCAGGCATGAAGGTGTGGTCTCAGAAGACCTGGGTGCCAGACCTAGGTTCTTGCTTGTGTGATTGTTGGCAAATGACACCCGAATCTCAATTTTGCATTGGGATAAAGAACATTAATGCCTACCTCAGTTGCTTTGAGGTTGGTGGATGTGCTTTGGAGATGTAAAGGGTTTTTTGTTCCTTAAATCTTATTTTTTTCGTTAATCACAACTAGTTCACATGTTGTATGCCATCTCATCTCAGTTATTTATGGATTCACTTTTTCTAATATTTGCCCTGTGGATGCTCCTACCTCTGCCTTTCAGCTCTTCAGCCATTCTTGCACACTAGAGAATGGGCAAAAGGGAAGAGTTAATTTGGGCTCTGCTGCTACCACCTCTGCAATAAGACATTCCAGGCTCATGACCCATTCTTAGAACAGACGACTCTAACAGAATTCTTTTCCTTTGCAGGTGGGCCAAGAGAAGGGAAACTGCTCTTTCCAGAAAAACCCAACCCCCTGCATTATCCCTCAAGAACAAGAAAATATCTTCCATACAATATTTGCTTTTTTCACAAAATCTGGAAGAAAAGTCTTGGTAAGAATCTCCTTACTGGTTGAGTTAACATGGGTGGTCTTCCCTAGAAAAGCAAATCTGAGAGGCCAGTTTTCTATTTAACATTTATTATTTCCGAAGGACTGTGATCAACTCCTATTTTTCAACCTGGGATTTCAACCAAAGTGTTAAATTTACTCCAAATTCTGTTGCCCAGGCAAAGGGAAAACCTTTGCAACCCCTTAAGCACAATGTAAAACATATTTCCAACTAGTATGATCCCAATCAAGAGTGGTGGTTTTTCTACCACTTTGGAAAAATTGTTTGACAATATCTCCTAAAACTAAACATACCTGTCCCCTGTGACCCAGAGACTTATCCCCAGAGAACTGAGTGTTTGTTTGCCCCAAAAGACATTGACAAGGATGGTCACAGAACTTTTATAATAGCTGAAAGTTGGGAGCAATTCAAATATCCATCAACAAAAGAATGAGTATGCTACTGGTGGTATATCCATACACAGGAATATAATGAAGCAATGAAAAATGGCTACTGCCACAAAGCATAGTATGGATGAGTCTCACATACATAATATTGAGTGGAAGAAGCTAGAGGCAAAAAGTCACATATTGTAATCGTTCACTTTTATGAAGTTTAGAAATAACAAGTGTACCAATGTGATGGAGGTCAGGATTGTAGTTAGTTATGGAGGAATATGGATAGGAGGGAGCATCAGGGAACCTGCTTAGGTGCTGAAATGCTCTACCTGGTTATATTGACCTGGTTATAACCAGGTATAAGAGTATATCAGGATGGAAACTTAAGACTTACTCAGTTTACTATCTATACATTTTGCCTCATTTAAAAAAAAAGCTGAAGATATTGAAGATGGAATCATAAAGCTTTTTCAAAGCCTCATTTCCCCACATCTTTGGTTACTTCTATTTAGCACCTTATTTCAACCTAAGCACATTTCACTCACATTTCCTTCCTCAATCTTTGTCATGGAAGAAATTAGACTATCTGCTACTTTAAAAATTAGGATTTTTTAACTTACATAGCGCTGATGATACATCTAATTTTAAATTCCTTAGAACTGTTATATGTAGTGATATCTAGTTGTTTGACATATATACTGACAGTTTTATCCAGCATTTGAAACACCATGAAGATACATACACACACACATACATATTTTGGAACTTAAAAAAGAGAAGATTTTTAACTTAAATTTAGAATTTAGGTTTTTCTTCATGTTTTTTGGTCAGACATGTATTTTTCTTTACTCCTGTGTTTTGTTGAATCATTTGATTTCCTAGCCCTTTAGAATGCTCTTCCTAGAAAATGAGCATGAAAGTATATTTACCTCTCTACAGGCAGAAATTGCATAATTTGGGGAAAACATCTTCAGAACTCAAGAAGAACGCTTACAGAATAATTAAACACATTCCTTTTTAAAACTAATTCCTCTTTGTGATATCCAAGTTTGGGCTAAGATAAACCAGTGAGTTCCCTCTTCCCACTTGCTTAACTAAAGGGCAAGTTACTGATAACCACTGGTGGAGAAATCCTTCCATTGCCCTCTGGTGGTGAGAATGAATGATTGCATCTTTCATCTCCAGAACAGAGACTCATAAAAGCCGGTGTTCTATAAACTGCTGTGCATTTGAATCTATCCAAAATAAATACCATTTGATGGTTCTCTGATTTGTCTTTTCAGGATTGTGACAATCCAAGAGTATCTTGCCTAACAATGCTCTGTAATCTTAGTGCTCTCGCTAAAGAAGAAAGTCGAACTATAGACATTTACATGCTGCTGAACACAGAAATTTTGAAGAAGGTAAGTCCTGCCGAACTGCACTCTCGAGGCTTTAAAAACCAGCTTTGAATTGGTTTCCTTGTGAAGCTGTCTACTCATTTTAAAACTTGGCTGGCAAGTACCTTTCATAAGTCTGCTGCTGAAGGGATGCCAGGGGGAAATCCCAGAGCCTTGCTATTCAAAGTGTGGCATGAGGACCAGCAGCATCAGCTTCACCTCAGAGATGGTTAGGAATGCAGAAGCTTGGACTGCACCCCAGACTTTCTGAATCAGCATCTTCACTTAAACAAGCTCCCTGGGCATTTTGTTTGTACATTTAGGGCCTCAGACTTTAACTTGCATCAGAATCACCTGGAGACCATGTTAAAACACAAATTCTGTGTTTTGGATGGTTCTCAGGTGATGCCACTACTGCTGGTCTGGAGATCACATTTTAGATCAGGGACTGGCAAAGCATTTTTTGTAAAAGGACAGTAGAAAATTCTTTAGGTTTTACAGTCCATACAGTCTGTTGTCTCTGCTCAATTCTGCCCTAGTATTGTGAAGGCAGCCATAGACAATGAATGTACAATGAACATACATTTAAATGAAGGTACTCAAATGAATTAACATGGTTGTGTCCCAATAAAACTTTATTTACAAAACTTGATTGCAGTTTTGCCGAACCTTGGTTTAGATCCCTTGTTTCAGAGTAGTGCAAATTTTGAATGGAAGCTCACTTTGCTACTATGAGTTTTATCAAGTGGTTCATAAAAATACCTCAGTGTGTTGGTAGTCATTTAAAATACCATAAAAATTCACTATGATTTATTTTTTGCATGCAAGCTTTTGAGTATAAGAAATCACATCCAACAAGATACTTCACAAAAAATCACATGTGAAGATAAAATATGTATGTTTGCCACAAAGGTTCTATTTATTTTCCTTTGGAAAGATAAAATGTGTGAGTCTGTATAAACTCACTGATGTATGAAAAGTTGTTCTAATGTTATTTTTTCAATTAGGTATACTGTCCTGAAAGGAAGTAGACTTTGGGAGCAGGGGGTGTTTTACCCATTTTCCATCTGTAGCTGGTGCAGCCCCACACACTGTGGAGAACCGGAGGATTGCTTTCTCTGGCTTCCTCTGGAGGACAACTGGTTTGGGACAAGTTGAGCTCACAGCAGTGCCTCCCTGCTACTCCTGTCCTTTACAAAATGAGAGGACCAAACACAAGTTAGACACCACTGTCCATCCTGTGATTCCAAAGGGAGTCTGGAAGTCCCTTCTTGGCAGGGGTTCCCAGGTCAAGTTGAAGGACTCTGATTCTGCAATCTTACCCATCCAGGTACATATTTTTTTTTAAAGATTTATTTATTTATTTATGCAAGAACCAGGGCACAGGCCAGATGCGTGGGAGGGTGAGAGGATTCATCAGAGACAGAGTGGGGAACAGAACAGGCAGATTGACTGAAATACACTGCTGAGGGGAGCAGCGGGCGAGACAGGAGAGGTCTGCCACGCCATGTGGGACCCTCGCCAGCCAGCCGGGATTGAACCGGCCCTGCAGAGGCTGTGGACAGCTTCACAGCATGGCGCTCAACTGCCAGCGCCACCAGGGGAGGCATCTTCTTAACAAAGGGCCCTGGTGACAATTTTATTCCCCATACCATGTGAAAATGACCATCTTGGGGCCTCCCTGTGGTGCAAGGGGTTAAGCACAGCACTATGAAGCAATCCACAGCCTCTGCAGCACAAGTTCGATCCCCGGGCGGCCAGGAAGCAGCCCACATGGCGAAGCAGACCTCTCCTGTCTCCCCAGCTGCTCCCCTCAGCAGTGTATTTCAGTCAGTCTGCCTTTCTGTTCCCCATTCTGTCTCTGGTGAATCCTCTCACCCCCCTGCACCTCTGGCCTATACCCCCCAGCTCTTATATGCATAAATTAATAAATCTTTAAAAAAAGAAAAAAAGGAAAAAAAAAATGGCCATCTTACCCAAAGTAATATGCAGAGTCAATGCAATTCCTATCAAAGTTTCAATGGCATTCTTCAAAGTAAGAGCAAACATTACTGAAATTGTATAGAACCACAAAAGACCCTGAATAGCCAAAGCAATCTTGACCAAAAAAGAATGAAGATATCATACTCCCAGACTTGAAACTGTACAAAGCTTTAGCAATCAAAACATTATAACAAATCATTGAGACTGAGAAGGGGTCTTAGGAATCTCTGATTCATATTCAGTTGGCCAGAGTAGAGATAACAATCTGAACTTGCAGCTGGAGTCTAAAGTCCAAGGAGGAGGGAACTTGTAGGAATCTATAGTCAAAATGTCACAAGGCAGGGAAACAACCTAGGGTAACCAGCTTGTGGCTGGTTTCAGAAGTCAGGGATGGATGGGGGTGGAAAAATTCCTGTAGGATTGAATCCTTAACCTGTGGAATCTGATACTGTCTCTGGTAGATAGTGTCAGAATGCAGTTGAATTCTTGGGTGCTCAGATGGTGAGTTGGCTGTTTGTTAGTGGAGTGGGAAAACCCCTCCCTTCCAATGGAATTTGGGTTCCAAACACCAAAAGAAAACATATGCAAAATTTGAAAACTACAAAATACCAATGACTCGGAAAAAAACTAAAGAAATGAAAAGACGTATTAATTGATTGAAGTCTCAAAGTAGTTACGGTATTCATTCTTCACAAATTGATCTATAGATTTCATGGAATCCCAATCAAAATTTCAACAGAATTTTATGTAAATGTAGGATACCTGATTCTAAAATTTATAAGGAAAGGAAAATGAACTATAACAACCAAAACCATTTGGAAAAAGACAAAGTTAATGGATTCCTACTACTTAATTTTAAAAATTACTAAAAAAAAATTTTAAATGGTGTGATGTAAGTGGAAACACAGACATAATAAATGAAATAGAATAGAGCTGAATAATATAGCCAGTTAATTTGCACACAAATATAACCAGTTAATTCTTAACAAGTTGCAAAGGTAGTTCAATGGAAAGGTATTTTCTTCCTCCAAAAGGTGTTGGAACAATTGGACATTCATATGCAAAAATAAATGAACCTTGACCTATAATTCACACATAACCAAAAATCACTTGCCCTTGTTGAGAGAGCCCTGATTATGGCCCTGCTAATGGTGAGAAGCCACTCTGATCTCCTTCACCCTCAACCCAGGTGGCTGTACTCACAGGACAGCCATCTGCACTTAATTGTCAGGGTGCAAGCCATCGCCATCCTTGTGCGTACCACTGTGTCTTTTTCATCTCTTTCTCTCAGTGACCAGTGGTGACCCCTTTCCAAGGAACATGTCCCACTGATTACTGTCTTCATGGGCCATCCAGCCCAGCCCGCACCCCAAGGGAACAGAAAGTTATAGGGTATCACATGTGGATGTTGGAGGATCATTCTCCCTGACAATACCCTTTCAAGAGAAACCAGCCAGAATTCAAGGTATAAAGGAAAACCTAGAATGAGGCTGACCTGGAAGGCAGATGGGACCCCAGCTGCTTCTAGAGCTTGAAATGCAGTGTGCTGAGCCCTGAAGCCGGCCACAACCTCCCTCAGGGAGTAGAGCGTGAGATGTCTCCAGGACCCTCCCTGAGGGTGTCAACCAGCGCCAGCTTTGTGGTTTTGCTTGGGCCTACAGTTGTGTTTGTTTTCCTTTGACCTCAAGGTCTGGCCCCAGACAAGGGAATTTGTGGTTTAGTTCTTCTGACCTTAGCAAATTTTCATTTGAAATGTACAAACTGATTTTTTTCCTTATCATAGGATTCAGATTTCTTTGACAGTGTGCTGCAGACACCAGGGCCCCATCCTGAAGACACTCCTCATGTACCCTGTCTTTAGCTTCCATTATCATCATTAGTGTCATTATTAATATCTAAGATGAGATGATCCAAAATAGAAAATATAGAATATCCTGACCTATAAAACCACAGATTTACAAAATTGTAAAGATTATTTACGTACAATATTATTTACTGTTTCTCCGTAATTAACAGGAGAAGTTCCTGTAGTGCCAAGCTTCCCAGAAGCATTTAAAATGTTTCAGTGCTGTTTTTTAAAAGAACTATAAGTAATGCAAAAATCACAGGTGAATTTCACAAAGTGGCATCCTGTAGGTCCTCCCAGGAAGGTTTGATGGTTTCTTTGGAGAGATGAGCAAAGGCCTCCTCGGAACTGGTTTTATAGAGAGAGTCTGCTACTTGCATATTTGGGGATAGGTTTAACCAGAAATGGGTCAAAGCTGGCATATGAGTATATACCTCCTTGTGGGGTGGACTAGCTGAGTGATGTGGGTGGGAACACTATGGGACACCTTGCCCGCGGTGCCCGGCCAGCCCCAGGCATGATGCTGACTGTGTACCCACTCCAGTTGCCTTCTCTGTGTTTCTCCCATAGAAACCAGCCGCCTCTCACCCCACAATCAGTGTGGCATCATCCACACTACTGGCTCAAGCTTCCAGCCCTTCCCTAAACCATAGTTTTGCCAACCCCTGTCTCTTTCCAAATTCCTTCTCCAGCCCTGCCTTGGAGCCATTTCTCATTATCTACATCAGTGGCTTTGAACTTGAGACCACACCAAAGTATCTGCCATGTCTGGCTGGTGGGCCTTCCTGAGTCTTTGATGTGCTCAGCTCCACTCCAGCCCCCTTTCTGCTCAGGCCATAGCTAACACTGTAACCCAGCGCTTCCCCCCTTCTCGTCTCTCCATCGAAGAGACAGGCACTCGTGTTCAGTGGCTTTGACTCCATCACAGCTTCACTGAGGAGCAAAGAAAGAGTTAAAAGTAGCTCGTGTGCTGGGTTTGAGGCTTGTGGTCAGGGAAGGAAGATGTTTGAGAAATGTAAATCAGATGCCTTCGATGCAGTGCCAGGCCTGGATTTGTTGTACACAATGAGACAGCTTTATTTATTCTCTCCTCGTTGTGAATATGTCAATACCAATATCCACATATCTGGCTTTTCCCACTTGGAAACTGCAGTGCACAAGCTGGCATGTGGGGATGACTGGCAGAAGCCCACAGCTCCTCAACATTCGCCATGATACAAAGAATTCTCAAGAGGGAGACTGGAAATCTCTGTTCATGGGGGTGCCTGAGTTGGGGAGGTGTCTAGTTCAGCAATAAAAATTTTGTCTGGTCCACGTTGACGCTTGGTGTTTCAGCTCTGGCCTGTGGCAGAAGCCTGACTGTGGTCCTTGAAGAATCATACAGTGAATTGTGTTGCCTCCTCCACAGGACAGCTCATCAGTCATCCAGTTCATAACCCACGCCAAGATAAAGGCAGACCCAGCCCTGAGGGTGGTGGAGTTGGCCAACGGGAGCCCCGAGGAACTGACGGTGAGTCGGCCACGTCTGGGGCTGCCCTCTTCAGAGGGTGATCTGGGTGGCTTGGGAGACTTGGTGCTGGAGTTTGCGGGTGAAGATGGCCTGGAGCCACGATGTTGGCTCTCTGGTCACCCCACGACCAAGGCTGCCTGGACTTCCAGGTCCCCGTAGAGAACTGTGGTTTGCTCTCGTGATGGCGTTGTTCTCCGGGATGCCATCACGACGTGAAAGCTCCCAGCTATGACCAACCACAGGGAAAAGAGCCTGCAAGTGCCCCTGACAGGACTTGGGTTTCACTCTGAAGCCAAGACTATTTTTATCTTTCTCAGACCTTTCCCTGAAAACTCACTTGCCTTCCCAATCACGTTGCTCCATGGATGAACACTGGGTGTTTTAAAAACAAGTTACTAGAATAACGTAAGAGGCCATATCCACATGGCTGAGCCCTAGAACCTTCTCCTGTATTCTCTGCCTATCCCCTTGTCATCAGAGACACCGGATGGTGTGGCAGCCAAGAGGCTTGGGTGTGGGGGTGTGGGTGGAGCTGGAAGAAAAGCGTGGCCTTGGAATTTTACTGCCTTTGATTGTTTTTTCAGGGTGGGGTGGGGTTAGTGGAAGCTCACCCTTTGATGGCCACGAGCAGATCCCACGCAAAGAGATAGGTGCCTCTGAGCTGGTTTTGCCAAGGACAGTGCCCTACTGCTACCTTTTCATCTCCTCTCTTTATAAGACATTACCTTCTCTTGGAAGAGTCAGTGATGCTGGGACAAATTTCTAAAAGTGATAAATTAATAAAGACGATTTTCTTACAAAGAAAAGCATTTATAATAACAGAGATAGCACATGTATAAATGTTAGGGTGGGAATCAGGTGGAAGCACACCCCTGGGGCCCTGCTTGGAGTGGTTCCACATAGAACAGGAATCCTTGGGGACCTCAGTGAAATCTCAGTCCTCTTGGGGGAGAGCAGCCACGACCTCAGTGAGTGCAGGATAGCGTGAACCCACAAAAGGGTCGGAGTGTTAAGGCAGCATCTGGATGCCCCCCAGTGTGGGGAGGATTGTCAGAGGAGAACTTCACACTTCTGTGCACTTGGGAAGTTGTCCAAGCAGTTATGTTAGTAACAGAAACTTATTGGGATGACAGGAAGTGACTCTGGAGTCCTTTGCTATTTAGGGTCAGTTTTCTGGCAGGTCAAATCTTTGTAATGTGACTTTGCCTTTTCCTCCCTGTCTTTGACCATTTCACTGCTAATTCAGACCTTTACTTGGGAAGTGAAGGAGAAGGCTTATTTGATGCTCATCATCATAGCTCTGGTAACTCTTGAAAGCTGACTGCAGAACTGAAGCATCCAGCGTGGGGGGAGGAGTAAAAACCAAGAGGGAAGGGAGCACGATGGACTACGGGGATGGGTTGGGGAGGTGTGGCTGTGGGTGATTCCGTGGCAGGTGCACTATGGTGGCAAACCATATCCTAATGCTGGGAGTGTCCTAATAGTATCTCATTTAAAAATAAATACGTAAATAAACTATAAATAAATGATGAAATTTAAAGTTCTATAGAATGAAAGACCTGCTCCATGTGAGTGAGAGCTTTGGAATGTTCTGGCGGGCCACAGTGTTCCCAATTAAGGGCTAACGGGAAAAATCACCAGGTTTTCTACAGGTGGAATCTCTTGAGTAGTTGAAAAATAATATCACGAACACATTGCCTTCAATTAGAGACCTGAGCTGTGGGATCCAGGATGAGGTTGCTTAATGTTCCATTTTGGGGTTCTGAGTCATCTATGGGCCCCCAAAATATCACTTCCATTAATTACTGTGCCATGTTGAACAATGTGGTGATGTTTTCATTATCAAGAGTTCTTTGGAAGAAGCTTTCATTTCAACTGATTTCAGTACTTCCAAGAAAAAAGTAGCACCCACGGGGTGCCCCATAAGGCCCCTTCCCCTCCTGCTTTCCATGACTTTGCTTTTGAGTCCTGGAGCTAAGATGAAGTTCTCCATTCTGTTCTCTACTTTCCTGGCAGGAAAAACAAAAATCTTTTCTGAGTAGGAAGGTTTGCCTTTTTAGAACAAATATGTTCTTCCTGGTATGATTCTACTGAATGCCTGGCTTTCTGTCAACCATCCGAGGGGAAATTTCCATAGAGGCTAGCCACCAAATTTAAATCAGGCAAAATTTCACAAGATTTTAGATTAGGCACCAAATTTTTATGGCCTTGGAATGAACAGGAAATGTACTTGTAGCTGGTATTGAGTGGGGCATAGGTGAGTAGAGGAGCAATCTGATTTTTAACCATATAAAAGTATATATAACTGTTCATTGAACTGGTAGGGAAATCAAGTCATTTTTCTATGATTCTTTATAGCTTTTATTTTTATGCCATGATAAGAGTAGGGCTTTCCAGAGCATCTAAATGAATGCCTGGGGATATGTAATAGATTCTTGAATCATTTGTCCTGCTTATTAATAAGTAGATCTGGGTGATTCCCGGTGGGGTGTAACATGTGTCCAACACAACCACCCCAAACCTGAAATCCCAGGTGAGTCCCATGGGACCACACTCGGTGTTGGTTGCCAGGTGTCCCTAATGTGCTGAATTTCCTCTCCCTTCAGCCCAACCCTTCCCACTTTCAGGGAGAGTTGCCAGTAACGGAGGCTAGAGACTCCCCCAGGGCAAACCAAAAGTTTATAGAATCAGCTCTGCTACTGCGAGCTGCCACCCCAAACTCCTTCTCATGTATGAGAAACCTACATAAGTTACTAGCAACTTATTACTGTTTTCTTGATATTTTAAAATAGTGGAATATACGGTAAGCCTGTCCACCCACAGGTGAGGAAGGAAGTCACTGCTGTGGGGGTGCGCCAGGTTGAGATCTCAGGGCCAAGCCTGAAGACTGGCTCTGTCTCATCTCATCAGAGTTGGGGTGTCAGAAGGCTCTCTAGCTGCTCTCAGAATTGCCAGAAAGGCTGGAGAACCAGGCTGCGGATAGGAGAGGAAGCACGTAACTCAAGGGACTGGGACCACAGACTAGGGCAGGCCACAGGAAGAGCCTGGCAAGGTGCCTGGGCGCAGTGGTCCCTGGCCTCGCTCCGCCTCCTGTCCTGGAGTCTGGGAGGAGCCTCTTGCTGGCTGAGGTTAGGCCCCTCTCCAGGGACTCGCTACCCCAGGGAAAGCCGCTCAGGGGCACTCCAGCTACTGAGTGTAGTTTCACCCTCATTTAGAAAAGGATTCCCCAGACTGGAAGGGGGATCAATACCAGGTTGCTAGAAAGTGAGACATGTCCGTCCCCGCCCCGCCTCCCCCCCCCCACCTCCCGGCCCCTTGAGCTACTCTAATCCTGAGCGTCAGTGTCAGGCCAGCCAACCCCTGCTCTCTGTGGGCTCCCACCTGAGCCAAACTTTGTCCTATTTAGGCCATGTCATTGTTGGTCACTTCTGGGGAAGCTGCAGCCTTAATGAAGAGGACATGGTACTCTTTGTCCAAAACTGTTTGACAAGGGTTTGTACATTTTGCTTTGTTCTGTTTCGTTGTAAGAAGTAACATGCTTGGAAGAGCAGTCTTCCTTGCTGGTTTATGAGGGCCCTTCACTGTCTGCCACAGGAACCACGTGTCCAGAGAGGCTTTCTCCTCCCTCTCACGACTGCTGCCATTGGTGTCCCTTGCCCCGCAGTGGGGAGAGGGCTCATAACTTCAGCAGAGCCCACCGGGTCCTCCCTGGGTTGGAACCACGATGCCTCTTCCCCTACTGAATGAGGATAGTTGGAGGAAAGAAATGGCTTGCCCAAGATGTCGCAAAGGCTGTGCTAAGGGCAGCGCCTGGAGCTCTTGCCTTCCAGTCTGGTCACTAGGTCACATAGTCCCTGAGCCTCCTTGGACGAAAGGGACTGGACAGATGCACAGTATCCAGTATGGAAATGAAAGAAATGACTCGCTTTGAAGTGTCTGTTAAAACTGCCCAGGTGCACAGGAGCCCAGCCGGCTCTTCAATGGGCAGGTTCCAGAGGCCTGGCTCCCTTCACTCCGGTTTGGGGGGAGGGGGGGGCTTTCCCTTCTCAGTCGAAATCAAAGCCCAGAGTAAAGCCTCGTGACTGCAGCTATGCAGCTATTTCCAAACAAACCTGACAGCCCAGCACTAAATGATCAGGACAAAGTTCCAACTTTATTTTCTCTGAGGCTAGTTAGCTTCAGTTCCCAGTGTTGGCCCTTCTGGGTAGTTGGTCCTTCCAGATTGACCTTTTCCTCTGAGAATAGAGAGCACCAAAGCTTCCCGTTGGAATAAAAAATAATACCATCTCCCTCTCTTCTTAACTGTGTTACTGTGGGTATGAGATAAGTTCTATGAGCCTGTTCATCATCTATGACATGGGAAAGATGTTTTGAATTCCTGGAGATGTTGAGTGGGCTTAACAATCCCTTTGGGGGGTGGGAGAGCTCCCAAAAGAATGGTGACATGCCCCAGCATCTCAGGAGATCACCCCTCACATTAATGTCCCCTTTACCCTACTCTCTACCACTGCTCCCCCCAGTCAAAGGCACAAGGCAAGGTAGTTCAACCAGAAGGGCATCATCTAATGTGGTGAAGTTTCCTCCAAAAGATGCCACTTATATTTCCTTTGTCATCCTGCTGCTTGACTCAAACTAGGACTAACTAGAACTTATGCTCTACCACTATGTGGCCCATCAAAGTAGAAGTATGTTCCACATGGCAAGAGAGTTCTTACCCCTAACCTCAAGTTACATTGAGATGTAAGATGGAGAAGAGGGTCATTGGAAGGTCATCGCCACTCTCATCCTATATCATCATCAAAAAGATAGGTGGCCTTCTCACTTACACCCCAACATATGAAAATTAAATTCTAAACACAAAGGGTTGGAAAAAATCCCAGTAGAGTTTTCCAAAACATGTGAGTCCTATTTCCTAAGGGTTACCATTTGCTTATTCATTTGATGAATATTTATTGGGTGCCTGATATGGGCCAGGCACTGTATTAGGCACTGAGGAAGCA